AAGTTAATATCCTTACTCTATAATGAGCATTTTAAAATTAGTAAGTAAAAAGATTGATGATGAAACAAATTTATTTATAAAAACAAATAGGACTCACATAGCCAATTTGTTAAAGAATAAATACAAATGGGCAAATAACCTACAAAAAGGAAAATTTAAATCTAACAAAACTAGGAGATTTTTTCTTCTTCTGTTGACTTAGTCAAAACAAGGAAGAAGGATTACTGCTGGTGTTGCCGAGGGTATAGAAAAAAGGACACATGCATTACTGAGAGAACTTAGTATATTTGATTTTTTTCGAGTTTTTTTTTTCTAGTAAAGTCAGAAGAGTGCACAAAGGTAAATATGTAAGGATGGTGCAGAAAAAATAAAAAGGAATTAATCTAAATATCCATAATAGACAACTGATTGTATCAGCTACAAATACCGTGGAAAGCTAAGTAGCTATAAAACAATGTTAATGTTGATGTGTCTTTGCAGAAGTGGGGAACTATTCATTATTTCTTGTCTTAAAAGAGACTAGATTTCCCTCAAGGCATAAAGCCATATAAAATGTATTCCAGTCTCTCCAGAATCCAGTCTTGCTTAGATTTATAAAAATACATGAACATGACAATAGTTCTTTGTATTTATCCCTTTATAAATTGTGCTTCAAGATAGTTATTTAAGGGTGGAAAGGAGAAAAAAAATCTTTCCAGAAACACAGAATCATTGTTTCCTACTTTTTCATAGTCTATTTTGTTTTCCAGAATTTTCCTTTCTTCGTCTAACTAAACCTTGATTAAATATGATAAATATGAATTATATTCTGTCTGTTAAATGTAACTGTAAATATCTCACTCAAAGAATTTGACTTTTTGGAAAGCATATGTACATATTTAGTGAAAATCAGAGATTAGTTTATTTTTTTCAGTCACATACTATGTTTCAAGGTTTAGGAGGTTACTGTGTATGTCAGTAAAAGTGTAATTTCATTTTTTTTAAATTATAGTTACTAATTTAATAGGTGCATGTTGACATGTTTATTCACACCCCAGTGCCTTATTGGTAACAAAGACTATTGTGGTCTTTAGGGGCTCATTAGAATAGCAAAAACAGCCATACTTTGACCAAAGTGTAACCTGTTATACAGTTAGGTATTTTTTTAGGTTCAACACACACTATTTTGATGCCTCAGTCATCATTAATGAGAAAAGGGGCCCCCAATTAAATATCCACTAGTCTTTACAGCAGTGGCCACATAGTAATTCAGTAAGTGCCTACTGTGTGCCAGGTACTCTGCTAAGATGCACCAACTCCTGATTTCAAGAGCTCACAATGCAATGGTAGAGAAAAAAATATAGTGCAGTGTGAAGAGTTCTGGGAGATTGTAGAAAATAACATAGAGACCGAGGAGGAAGCTGCTGATTTCCAGGGCCACACAGCGTAAGTCACCGATTATGGATGGGTATCAGCCTTGACATTCAGGAGCCAGTACAGACAGACCCAGCCCCTGCCACACACCAGTAGTGTGATCTTGGGCAAATGACTGACTGTTTCAGAGCCTCAGTCTCCGTATTGATCACAATCCATACCTACTCTACCTGGGTAGTGCAAGGATTCAATGATATAAAGTATGTAAAGTGCATTACAAAGAGAATAGTTAATAAACATTAATTCTCTTCTTAGCATAAATAATATTATACAAATTAAGTAGGCAAATTCATATTCTATTTAGTATTTACAATATTTGGACATGGGCTAAACTGAAGTTTATTCTTATATTTTTACATCCTTGAGAATTCTTTGATCATTTGGTTTATTTTTCATGTAATTTTAGTATACTCATCCTGCATTGGTTGGTTTTTTATTTTGACTTGTCATATCACACACCTGTTTTATGTGGTTCTACAGCATCTCTCCTCCTCCTCCTCCTCCTCCTCCTCCTCCTCCTCCTTCCAAATAATCTTTAGTTTAAAAGGCCTACCAAGGAAAAATAAACATTGTGATTTGCCCTTGAAAGAATATCAAGAAAATAATCCCTCATCATTCTAGGCTCTCAGCATCAGAAACCAGAAGTACTACGTTTCCCTGCCTGATGGATCAGTTCTTTAGATGATGACTTCAGGTCGCCATGGCTTAAGCTCTTTGACCATAGTTCTGTGCAGTCTTTTCATCAACTCAAGCTCTTGCATGTTTCCAAATTACTAAATATAAATTGCGTTATGGTCAGGATGTTTGACCAAGCCAAGTCTAAAGAGTCTTGTCCCCACCCTCCTCCCCTCCCTTCCTGGGGGCTGGCTAGCCAGTGTGGCTGATCAAACGATTGCTCCATTCATCTGCAGTGCCAAGACAGCCGTGCTTTCAGAATGCCTTCCAATGGCACTCGTCTGGCTGAGGACCATAACCAGTTCTCAAGCCTGAACTCAGGCTGTTTAATTCCTCATCTTCTACAGCACAGGGCTCAGCTTCAGATGTAATGCTGGCCTCTTGGCATGGGCCTTGGGAATAACTACGGCATAAGGAAGGTCCTTTGAGAGAATATATGAGAAAAACGTATTGGTATGTATGAAGGATCAGCAACAGGGAGGTCAAATATTTTCTTCATAAGCATAAGACTGTAACATAAAAGCAGTTTTGAAAGTGTGTTTAGTGGATCATAATTTTGACAATACCTTATTCTCTTCAGAGTATACAGGGTAGGGCCAAAGTAGGTTTACAGTTGTTCATATGGAAAATAATACGATAATAAGTAATAGAACAAGAATAAATTCTGTGTTCATGTACTCACAACTGTACACCTGCTTTGGCCCCACCCTGTATGTGTGCACACACACATCTTTAGGTAGAGCTCTCAACAAACCTGTGTTTTTAGGAAAACCTCTTACAGTTGTTCTTTAAAAAAAAAAAAAAATCCACATATTCCACCAGCATGTTTTGAATACCTCTTAGGTACCAGGCTCTTTGCTAGTTCTTAGAAATCAGAAATAGAAAAATAAGGTTATATAAATTTGGTGAGTTTTCTTCCAATCCATATTTTTTACTTTAGCACCCATAGATTTCTCTCTCTCTCTCTCTCTCTCTCTCTCTCTCTCTCTCACACACACACACACAATTTGACGTAAGTTTTTACATTACATGTACAGTCTGAACGTGGCATATTTTACTCACTGTTATTGAATTCTAGCATTGTTTATACACAAATTTGTTTTTATATGACATAATGTTACATCATATAAAATAGTCACATTTTATATGTCCACTCCCTTACAAATGGGCATTTAACTTGATTCCAACTTACAGTATTATAAACAATACTGTCACAATCATCCTTTACAAGGGTCTCTTGTGTCTCTAGGGTAGATGTCTCACAGTGGGTCAGAGAATGTGGGCAGCTTCCCTTTCTTAGGTATGGTGAGGTTTTCTTTCTGAATGGCTGCATTTGTTTTTTCTTCTAGCAGTTTATGAAAATACCTATTTCCTCAATCCAGCTAGATTCCACGTTGTCAAATTTTTTTTTTTTTGTCATTCTAATGGTTGAAAAGATTATATCTTGTTTCATGTTTACATGTTTTTGTTGTTTTTTTACATATAGTTTATTTCTGCTTTATTTCAACACTTTGCTCATGTAAATATATATGATAGATTTGATTCTAACATTTTTTGGCAAATAATTAAATATTTGAATTCTAAGAATTAAAAAGTACACTTTTCTTCTCAGTTGTCATAGTCCACATATGTAACACCATGCTCAGATCCAAATATATTATGAGCTTCATTTCTTTCTTTTTTCCCTCCAATTTTTATTAGTTTATTTTTGTTACAGATGTTTCTCCTTTTTCACCCCAGCCCACCCCTCCACCCCCCCTAGCATTGTTGTTTGTGTCCATTGGTTATGCATACATGCATATAAGTTCTTTGGTTCATCTCACATGTTTACATGTTTTAAAGAGTTCTATTCTGCAACCACGATATGTCAGTGTTAAAATCAGATCCAGCTTTGCATATAAGAAGAACATAAACCCCAAAGCTTTTATCATGTTGCATTATTTCCAAATGTAAAAAGAATTGTCATGCAGGATAAAAAGGTTGAATGGACTCATTCTTTTGATAAATATTTATTAAGCATTTTGTACTGGGCACCAGGATTATAAAGATAAACAGATTATAGTCTCTGACATCAATCAGGGGTTCTTATTCCATTGGAGAATGCTGTAACAGTGACTGTTCTGAGAACTGTAAGAGCACAGCAGAAGGAGAATATCATTTCAATTCTCTTAATCATGGAGAATGAATGTCAGAAAGTCACCCATTTCAGAGGGTAGTAAGTGCAACCTGAAGTGTTTAAAAAGATTTTCAGGCTTTTACTCTACTGCTGGATGCTATGGATGCTACCGTAGTATTTATACTAAATGACGGAACTCCCTAAGAACTGCAGTAAACTGTAGACAGGCTCACTGAGGAGAGCTTGTCCCTGAACACCCGCACCCCCATGAGAACTCAAGTAAGATGTGTCTGTGTTCAACTCATCACCTCCACCAGCGATGAACAGCTTCCTGGCACCTGGCAGGTACTTGGCCCCGTGCTAAGTGCAGAGGTACATGCATGTACCAAAGCATGTATGGTGTGGTTCCTACTCATCCAAAGCTCAGGATCCAGATTGGAAAATAAGACAATTCATGTTTAATGACATTTTAATACTAACTCATGAGAAGAAACAAAACCAAGTTTAAATGATACTTCCATATGGCCTATTAACAATGGAAAGGAAACCTCAATGCCTAGAGGAATGCCTTAGAAGGAAGCAGTGGGTAGAATCCTCAGTTGATCCAGGTACTGAGCTATGGGTAAGAAGGGTAAATAAAATCACAGGCATGAAGCTCTTAATACAGCCCTACAGCTAGTAGGCACACAATAATTCACTTTTAACAGCGCTTTGGAGTTAGAGAGTGCTGGTATCTGAAACTTAGTTATTAATATAAATATGTCAAAAAACATCAGTTTTTTCTTTTGTTTTTTAGGTCAAGAGGTGGTTTTCAAGTGCCTTGGGGAAGGAATTCTTGAAAAAGCCTTTCAGGGGTATAATGCTTGTATTTTTGCATATGGACAGACAGGTAAGAACTGCTTTTATTTACAGGCAATATTAAATGTGCATTTCTTAAAACAGAAATAGAAAACACTGGGAAGCTACAGAAAAATGCTTCTGCCTTTGTGGTTTAACTGAATTAGATAAAAAGTAACCCTCCTTTTGACCATCAACAGTTTTGGTAATTAAGTAGTTTCAGTGTTAATGAGCAAAGCTGGTTTCAAACTGTTAAATGTTGTTTTCCTAAATTATAGTTTTAACCTGCATTTGAACTAGAAAAATAATTACCAGTTTCTCAGTATAAATGTGATCGTAAAAACTATTTTTAAAAACAATTAGTATCTTCCTATACAGAGGACTTTCACTAGGATACAGAACTGATGATGGATCATTAAACCTAGGAACAAGCAAAACAAAACCATACTAGTGTCTCAGCCATTAACTCTCTGAGGCATCATGATTTCAACTATAAAGTGGGAATCAGTCAATCAGTCATAACAATACTGCCTCTGGTCACATTCAGGGCAATAAGACTCATATGAGAGAATATATATCAAAGTGCCTTCACAAATAAAATATTTTTTGGTAAATACTGTGAATGTTACTTGATAATGTAGAGTTGCTATTTACTGTACATGCTATTTTTAGTGATTATATTTGTTTGCATCTACTTGTAAATGAAGTGCCCTCTGGATCTCACAAGCAGAGTGAAACTAGAGGATGTGAGTGTAATAGAAATAATAGTAGCCCTTTTGTTTGAGGCTCAGGTTTGGGGGCCAGGTTTGCCAGGTCCACTTTGTGACCTTGACCGATACATGTAGACGACTTATATGGTTGAAGCATTATATTTTGCTCCCTCTTTTACCCTCCTGTCTTTCTGCTTGCTCTTCTCCAGGCTCAGGAAAATCCTTCTCCATGATGGGCAATGCTGAGCAGCTGGGCCTTATCCCAAGGCTCTGTTGTGCTTTATTTAAAAGGATCTCTCTGGAGCAAAATGAGTCACAGACCTTTAAAGTCGAAGTATCCTATATGGAAATTTATAATGAGAAAGTTCGGGATCTTTTAGACCCCAAAGGGTAAGTAAGTTGGTGATGAAATTAAGCTTGTACTAGAGGTAATAATTTAAAATGATCCTAAAGATAAAATTGCAACTGAATATGTCTATTTGAGCCCTCGGTCACTACTGTGGTTTCAGTTCATTTACTGAGAAATCATCTACTCTCAAAGCTGGTTGGTATGGCCAGTATACATAGTTTATCCTAAATTCATGTATAAAGTTGCTTATATATGCCATTTTAAAAAGATGTTTTTATTATTGGTATTATTTTAGCCACCATGGTTTATTCATAAAAATTGAGTTATAAATGCTTGGACCTTGCATTTATGTTGGAAAGCAGCACTTCTGAATTGGATATGAAGTGGTTGAAGGATTGAAATCACCCAGCTTAGGCAAGTCATTCTCCTCCCAGGCTGTGTGCATTGGAATCACATGGAGGGCTATTTAAGGCTATAGTGACCTGAGCCCCACCCACAGAGGCTAGGATTCAGTAGACCCAGGGAAAAACCTAGGCATCTATGTTTTTGAAAAACTAGGTGATAAAAGCCAGATGAGTTTGATTCATAGAAGGAGAGGGCCATTTACTTTATTATTATTATTTTTTTACTGATTTAAATAAGATATATTTTGCCTGGCCAGTTTGGCTCAGCAGTTGGAGCGTCAGTCTGTGGACCAGAGTCCTGGGTTTGGTTCCTGTTAGGGGCATGTACATAAATAAATAAATAAATAAATAAATAAGCAAATAAATAAACAAATAAATAAATAAGATATATTTTTATAAAATTTAGAAAATAGGCAAAATGTAAGAAGAAATAAAAATGACCTATAATCCCATCACTCAAAAATAACCACATTTTTTTTCTTTATTGTTGAAAGTATTACAGATGTCCCTCCTTTTCTCCCCATTGGCACCCTTCTCCGCGTTCCTCCCCCAATCTTCACTGCACTGTTGTTTATGTCCATTGAAAAATAACCACTGTTGCGCGGCCAGTGTGGCTCACTGGTTGAGCATCAACCCAGGCACCAAGAGGTCACCAGTTCAATTCCTGGTGAGGGTACATTCCCAGGTTGTGGGCCTGTGATCCCCAGTGGGGTCACAGGAGGTGGCCAGTTGATGTTCTCTCTTATCGATGTTTCTGTCTGTCTGTCTCTCTCTCCCCTTTCCTCTCTCTCTAAAATCAATAAAGAAATAAATATATATATAAAAGAAAAATAACCACAGTTAATACTTTGGTGCATTTTGATCCTGTATTTCAAATTTGTGTGTGTGTGTGTGTGTGTGTGTGTGTTGAGGTCATTCTCTAAATACAATTCAATATCCTGAATTTTTTTTGTAACATAATGAACACTTTCTCTTGTCATTAAAAAAATATTTTTAAATGCTTTTAGCAGCTGTATAATCAAGGGTATAATCAAAGGTATAATATCAAATTATAGGTTGCAAGGAAGTAACCCAATCATAGAAATTGTTTACATTTACTTTAAAGTTGTGAACTATTTAATGCATATGAAAGAACATTTATGATACATGTAAGGTATAATGAATAATAAAATCAAAGATGGCCCTACTCACCATGGTTTTTAATAAATGGAACATGACCAGTAGTTTTGAAGCCTCCTATATGTTTCTCTTGGATCCCATTCTGTTTCCTACCCCACCCCAAAGTAACTGCTATTATGACTTTTCTGTTTTTTGTTATCTTCCTTCTCTTTAGAGTAAACACATTATTTTACATATTATTAAACACATTATTTTTGTGTGTATAAGTGACATCATAGCTATTTGTGTACTTTGTTAACTTATATTTCCCCCTCAATTAATCATTCATTCTGATATATGAAGTAACAATGCATTAGTTTTTACTGCTCTTTAGTATTCCATAGTATGATTATACCATCAGTTACTTATCCCACCTCCTGTCATTGTGTGGTTTCCTCCTTTTACCACTTCATTACTGCTCTGAGCATTCTTTTTTTTATTTATTTTAGAGAGAAAGGAATGGAGAGGGAGAGAGAGATGGAAACATCAATGAGCAAGAATATTGATTGGCTGCCTCCTGCATGTCCCCCACTGGGGATCAGACCCACAACCTGGGCATGTGCCCTGACCGGGAAACGAACCGGCGACCTCTTGGTGCATGAATCGATGCTCAACCACTGAGCCACGTAGGCAGGGCTTGTACAGTTTTGCTGGTGTACAAATGCAGGAGTTTCTAGGGAATACATGTAGGGGGAATTGTAGGTCAAAAGAAATGGAATGTTCATCTTTATTTGGTACTGCCAGACTGTTGTCCGAGGGGTTGTACCAGTTTATACCCCCAGCAGCAGTGTACAGGAATGCCGGATATTAAAGTCCTCATAGGCACTTGATATTGTGCTAAATTTACTTTTTCTTGCTCATGAATATCATTAAAGATTCTCTGGTTATGCAAGCAGAGTGAGCTGAGTTCTAGATCCGTGTGCATCAAAGTAGCTTTCATAAAGACATGCATTTGGTCTGCCCTGTTTAGAGTACAGCAGAATTACTCATGGTCACATTGGATTTTTTGTTCTTAAAGTTAGTAAAACCTATTTTGTAAGGTTGTAAGATTAAATGGGATAACCGAAAAGTTCTTAGAGAACAATGCCACGACTGGGGAAGCACTCAGTGGTTTTTAGGTCCCCTTTTCCACACTTGAATGATGCCAACCTTTGATTCTTGATTTGAAAGGTGATTAATATCTGATGCCATGAGAAAGGTGACATGTACAGTCGGGTAATAATCTGTGTCGCTTTGCTTTACATCTCAATTATCTATTGATACACTGTCCAAATGGGTACCACACCAGGTTTGCCATTTAAAAAAATCAAAAGGGCCCTAAAATCTTCACCAGCTGAGCCAATTCTGAATGCAGGATAAATATCAGTAACTACAAGTAACTGCTGTAATCTCACTTTCTATGTGAAATTGTCAGCATCGAAGCAACATAAATCAATACGGACTTGGGAAAGTAAATTAAAAATAAAACAGAAATACTTTAATATTCTTTGCTGCTTGATCCCAGCTTCATATTATATACTGAGAATGTGCTTATTTATAAAATAGCCTTAAGTTGGTCAGTTCCATTCTGGAATGTTCTTTGCTTTGTTTTGTTTTCTTTTTTTTTCCCTCCTGTGTCAAACAAGTTCATTCACTAAAGCAAGTTGGCCCAGCCTAGTGTTCTGTGTGCCGGCTGTTTAGTTGGTGAGTGGAGATAGACATTTTTAAACAGTAAGTTAGTTTAAGTAGAAGTCATAGTATAAAAGACATTTTTCATAATGAATGCTGTCTTGCTGATCTAAATAAAGTAGCTTTAGAATATTTTTTTATTTAAAAAATTATTTCGAAACTGCCATCTTACAAGTTTTGTCTGATTCATTTATTTCTTTTTTTTTCCCCTCCGAAAGGAGTAGACAGTCTCTTAAAGTTCGAGAGCATAAAGTTTTGGGACCGTATGTAGATGGTTTATCCCAACTGGCTGTCACTAGTTTTGAGGTAAGTGTAATTTTTTTTAATGTCATTAAATAACTGACAGTAAATTAAAGCATGTAAGTGATGTTGAATATATTTTAGTGTGAATGCTTTATTGCATATTGATACCATTCATGGTCTCCAAAACCCCAAACAGAAAAAAGGGCCTTTAATCACCTCTTCAGCCTACGTTGTTGCAAAGGTTTCACGGTGCGGCTGAGAAGCTCAGCATTTGAGCTAAATGTTTTCCCTGGTACCGCTCTGTTGACACTGTTCTACATCAGGTCACTAGCGACGTCTCTCTGGACAGATGTGAAGAGTATTCTAGTTCATTCAACCTCTTCTCTTTGATAGGGTCCCCTGCCAGCTTGCATTACTTTTCACTCTCCTGTTTCTTCTATTGTCCTGAATCAGTCCTCTCTCCATTTTCCTACTTCTTGATGTTTATGCCTTCTTATTTCCTGACTTGATGTTTCACTGCTGGTTTTACTGTCATTGCTTTGGAAATCTCATCACACAACCTGCTGTCTGTGGCTGTTACAGTGCTATCTCTGTGTTGCGGCTGTCCAATCACCCTCAGTACAGCCAAAATTAATCCAGGAGCTAACTCTGTAGCCATTTAAACACAGTTTTCAAATGAGTACTAGACTTATTGGAGTGATGGCTCTGTGAGCTTCAGTGTTCTTGTGTGTAAAATCATGAGAATACTTTCCTTATTTTGTTTTTTTTTGGAGAGTGGAAGGGAGGGAGAGAGAGACATCAATGAGAAAGAGACACATTGATTGGTTGCCTCCTGCACAACCCTGACCAGGGCCGGGGATCAAACCTGCAATCTAGGTATGGGCCCTTGATCGGGAATCAAACCCGTGATCCTTTGGTCTGGGGTTGGAGGGCCTGATGCTCTAAGCACTGAGCCAAAACCGGCCAGGGCAGAGAATACTTTCTTTATAAGGTTCATTCATCAAACACTGTATAAGAATCCATAGGTTCCAGGTGTTGTAAGGCAGGTGTACAAAGGTGAATAAGGAACATTCCCTGGCGAGCCATGGTGTTGGAGGGCAGAGGCAAATAAGTGAGCAGTAGATAGCTACACAGAGTTGTCAAGCCCAGAGAGTTAGAATAGAATAAGGTGATCACCATTACTGAGTATCTGGAGTGCTCAGTAGATATTAGCTCTTTTCTTCCCTAGGAACTTGCAAAGGAAAACATAGGTAGTTAACAGAGAGAGAAGACAATTGCGGGTGAGAAAGAATGGGGCATACATTTCATACACTCAAAAGCACCAAGGGAGGTGGACACTGAACCTTGCTCAGTGAAGGAGGGGCAGGAGGTTTTTATGGGAGGGCGGTGGCAAACGCGTCAGAGGATCATAATTAATACACACACCTGGTGGGCAGGACTGTGTTCATATGTTTTCGCTTATAATATTTTCCTTATGCTTTGCCTCTAGGATATTGAGTCATTGATGTCTGAGGGAAATAAGTCTCGGACGGTAGCTGCCACCAACATGAATGAAGAGAGTAGCCGCTCCCATGCCGTGTTCAACATCATAATCACACAGACACTTTATGACTTGCAGTCTGGGGTGAGGGACTGGGCAGACCCTTTGTTGGCAGTAAAAGACCTCACAATATGTTCATGGGTGATGTGTTTGGGTTCAGCTGCTGAGAATTTTGTGCTGGCTCTTACTAGATGAGCTACCTTGCTTAAATCATTTAATTTCTTAGGTCTTCCTTAATATATAATTGAATTTCTTGTGTGAACTCCCTAAAGAGCATGATGATGTCATCAGACAGCTTTTAATATGTATTCTTTCATACTTAAATTCCCCTCAAAGCAGCTGAATCTACCTCATTGTCATTAAGGGATATTAAAGAGGAAACCACAGCAGTTAGCCTAAAGAGCGCTTTCTCAAAGCAGAGGGGTTGGACCTGAATGCACAGGAATCCTCCTGTCCTAGTATTTCCTCGTAAGCACCTAAAGTCTCCAGCATCCTGGCTGTTTTCGGGCAAGCCACGTGTACTTGCTTCGCAGCAGCCAAACAAAATGCTGCCCTGCCCCACCAATTCAAATTTTGACTGTGAAATTTCACATCCAAATAACCCTTCTTACCATTTCAAATCTTGGGAAGCTTGCCCCTTTGTAGTGGATGGCTGCTTGGGTTGCTCTCAGTTATAGTGCTGACAGAGATGTAGAGATCTGTGTGGTTTTGGCATTCATGTGTGTTGTTTCTCTCTTGTGTCCTACCACTAGAACTCTGGAGAGAAAGTCAGTAAGGTCAGCTTGGTAGACCTGGCTGGTAGCGAAAGAGTGTCCAAAACTGGAGCCGCAGGAGAGCGACTGAAAGAAGGCAGCAACATTAACAAGTAAGGTGGCTGTGCTCACCTGGAGCATCACCTCCAGTGTCCTGTGTATCTGGGGGACTTGTGACATAAGGGGTCCAATGACTCTGATCATGGGTAGTTCGGAGTCTATCCCATGTTTAATGAAACCGGGTCGAGGAAAGACAACAGTGTGCCCCTATTGAGATACAGAAGTTATCTAAGCGACGTGGTGCAGCCCTGCTCAAACATTCTACAAATATTTAGTGTAGCATTGTACATAATGTAGTCTTCGGTAAATGTAAATCACACTTTCACAAATAAAATATAGTAAATTAACTCAGGGAGCTTACTCTGAAGAGAAAATCTGCTTTGAATCTCTTTGTAAGGCTAATACTATTTAAATATCAATACTTAAAAAAGCAACAAAAAAAACTTAACAGTTATTGAATCACTGCCACACTGAAATCCCACTATTGCCTTGAGTGCATACAGTGTGCCCAGTGACACCGTGAAGTCTGGAAGCAGGGTGGTGCAGGATGTGTAGGAGTTTGCCAGGTAGACAGAGGAGAAAAAGGCATTCTATATGGAGCGTGCAGCAAAGGCACAGACAACGAAGGACTTGTTCTCCCGGGAGTGTGGTTCCAGGTGGCTCCTGGTGTACACGAGGAAGAGTCTCTGCTTTCCAGCATGAGAGGGAATGGAGTTTGCATTTTAGAGGGTGTACTCAAGCCAGACTGCTTGAAGTCAGTCCTGTCTCCACCACTTACTAGATATATATCTATATCTATATGTGTGTGTGTGTGATAGGCAGGTGAGTTCACCTCTCTGTGCTTCATTTTTCTCATCTGTAAAATGGGGATAACTGTATCTCCTTCACAGAATTGTTTGGGATTAAGTGCCCATAATGTGCTTAGAACAATGCCTGGCATGTATACGCACTGAATAACATTAATTTTTGTAACTACTGTTCTTATAATGCATATAAACAGTATGATCGTTATCCTTACTCCAAGTTCAACAGAAAGCAGTTTAGTTTGTACTTGTAATATTTTGTCTTGCAACATATAACTTGGGGTTTTGTTTAGGACAGAAGGTGACAAGAGGTAATATATTTAGGAACATGTTTGTGCAGCTTGCATTTTAAAATATTGTTAGATTAGAATTTTAGTATTACACAAGTTTAAACTTAGCAATAAAATATCACCCCCTCTCAAATGGACACAGGCACACTCACTGCAAAGACTGCTGCTTTAGGGAGTTGCTCTTCCAATCACCCTGTCTCCCGCTCTAATAACAAAGGATTTTGCGATATTTCGTGACAAATCATTGTAGGGGCCCAGGCTGATATTACAGCTCTGCCCTTCAAAGTGAGCTCAGGAACCAGGGTGGGAAAGCAGAAATGTGAGTGTGAGGGAGCAGGCACCAAAGAAAAGACTGTCGCTGGTCCTGGAGACTTGTTTACTGGTGCTGAGCTGTGCCCTCCCCTGGCCTGCTGGCTGGGATTGTGGTAGACACTGGAGATTCTGTGCTGTGAATCTGTGGGACTTCAGAGTATGGCCTTGATGTGTAATGATCACCGACTGCTACTGACTTCTTGCAATGTGCCAGGTGTTATTCTGAGTGCTCTGTGTCGTAACTCATCTGATCCTCACATCAGCATTTGTAAAAGGGGTCTGTTACTCCATTTTGCAGATGAGGAAACCAAGGCAGAGCGCAGTTCCATAATGTGTCCAGAGTCACAAGCTCTAAGAGTGGATCTTGGATTTGGTTACAGGCAGTCTGGCTCCAGAGCCCAGGCTCACCACTGTGCTATACTTGGGGTGACCATGTGTTCTGTTTGCCTGAAAAAGGTTCTGATTGATACTTTTCTCTCAGAGTAAATATTATCATTGCCTCCTTAAATTTGGACACTAAATTATGTAGTGTCCCAAGATGGACTACTTCAAGGCCACACGATAACATGGTTTTGATCCTCCAGCAACTGGCCCTTTTTCATAATCACTTATTGAGTTGAATGGAATTCTCTTAGCTTCCTACTGTCTTTCCTTATTATGTACAGCTCTTTCACAAATGGATGTGTGTATCCCCTGCTGCTAGTCCGTGGGATATAATCATCATGTTTACGTTTCTTCATAGTTTTCAGACCACTTTCACCTTCATTATTTCATGTGAGGCTCATACCAAGTATTTTTTTTTTCTTTTAATCTCTGTTTAAGACAGAGGAAACAGATGCTTGGAGACATTTAAGTAATATGAATGAAGCCACACAGACATTTTAAGCCTCTGCTATGTGTCTGGCACGGCAGTAGATGCTGAGGATGCAAAAGGAATTTAGATATTGTTGTCAACAAAATACTCCCTCACTGCCTCCCCCAAACATGTCACATCCCAATTCCCAACACTTGCACATATGTTACCTTACAAGGCAAAGGGATTTTGCAAATGTGGTTTTTAAGAGTTTGAGATAGGGAGGTTATCCAGGTGGGCCCCATGTGATCACAAAGCTCCATAGAAGTGAAAGAGGAAGATCGGAGAACCACAGTCAGAGTCAGACTGATGCAGGGTGAGAAAGACTTCAGTGGCCATCGCTTGCTTGGAGATGGAGGAAGGGTCCATGGGCCATGGAATGCGGGCAGCCTATGGTCACAAGCACTGTAAGATAATGAACTTGTGTTGTTTTAAGCCTCGCCATTTATGGTTACTTGTTACAGCATGATTGCCTCCCTGAGGAGCGCATAGTTTAGGACAACAGTAAGTTACTTCATGTGAAAAAGTGAAAGGAAGGAAGTTTTTTTACTGGATAATGTTGAGAAATGCAGTATAACCCAGCATTTGAGCATGGAACTATTTTTTATGACACCTTTCCCAGCCTGTGGAGGTCTGCCAAGTTGGTTTTGTGCTTTCCCCAAAATAACTGGCTGGAATGGAGTGGAACTCCTTCTGAACCCTTTCTCCTGAACCTTAGTCCAGGGCTATTTCCTTTCCTCCTCACATCTCTCATCTCCCGAGTTGGTGCATATGCACTGGGAGACCACTGTGGATCCAGGTCTCCACCAGGTAGGCATCCTCCAAGTTCTCGGCATGGTCATTGGTGCGTAGTAACTGAATGAATGGGGGCATTTCTTTCATCCTAAGAGAGTACTGCAATATCTGCACAGCCCTCTCAGAGGCCTTCATAGAAATAGCGACTCACAGTCCCATACCTGTGATTCTAAAGCCCAGAAAGGTCTGAAAACCAAGAACTTTTTTTCCTTCATAGCACATTTGTTAGTAAACCTTCACCTAGACTCTCATAAGGGATCTCTAATCTTTATCTATATTTACAGCCTTTATTTACTTACTTAATGTGGATATTTATAACTTTAACTGTGGAATTATTCATGTATTTTACTATGGAGTACTGTCTAGATCCCACTGGCGGTCATGTACAGTGTCCAGATATTCTGATTTTAAGACACATGTAGTCCCAAGGGTTACGGATTAAATACAGTGATACCTCGGTTCTCGAACGCCTCGAATTTCGACCAAATCGGTATTCGACCAGGAGATTCGAGAAACTTTTGTCTCGGAATCCGAACAAATATTTGGAACTCGAACTTCCGAGATGAGCCGAGTTGAGCCGAATGGCGTTCATTCGGCCCAGCGTGCCTTGCTTGCGTCATCAGTGTGAGTGCAGAGAGAGAGTCACGCTTTGTGGAGAGAGTCACGCTTTACACTGAATTTAACCCTTAGACATACTGTACACTTTTATTTCTTGTTGAGACTTATGTTTTTCTACATATTATATACAAATTAGGCCAGTAAATAGGCATTTTCTGGGGCTTGGAACGAATTAATCCAGTTTCCATTATTTCCTATTGGTTTCATTGCTTCGGTTTTCGAACAATTTGGTTCTCGACCATCCTCCTGGAACGAATTATGTTCGAGAACCGAGGTATCACTGTATATGGAGCTGTACTTTTTTTATCCATTTTGCAAATGTGTGTTTAACACTGTGCGTAAAAACACAGGGGTGGATGGGTAAGGTGGGACCCTGGCCTCAGGGAGTTCAAAGTCCAGTGGGGAAGGGAGCCCTTTGAAGGGCAGCACTAGTACGTTAAGTGCCACAGACACAGGGTGCAGTGGGACACGGGTGACAGCACAGCTGGAGGGTTCAGGGGCTTCTAGAGGAACCACTGCAATTTCTTAGTTATAGAAAGAGCCTTATGACCGCCCATACCTCAGTTTCCTCATCTGTAAAATGTGGATGAGGAAACAACCCTATGACTAGGGCTGTTATAAGGATTAAATTAGTTACTTGTGCCTGGTCGGTGTGACTCAGTGGATTGAGTGTCGTCCCATGGACTGAGAGGTCCTGGTTTAATTCCTGGTCAGGGCACATGCCCGGGTTTGGGGCTCGATCCCCAGTAGGGGGCAGACAGGAGGCAGCTGATCCATGTTTCTCTCTCACATCAATGTTTCTCTCTCTCTCCCTTCCTATCCCTCTAAAAAATCAATAACAATGTATAAAAAAAATAGTTCCTTATAAAGTACTTACAACAGTGCCTAACACATAGTAAACTCTATATAAGTGTGTACTAATAAAGTAAAATAATACAGTAAATTGAAACTGCTGCCTGTTGGTTCCACCAATGGCATTTTAAGCCTTAAAATCAGTACCCAGTTGAGTGCTAAAATTAAAGAAATCTGTGATGTTTCCCAAGCTTTCTCTTGGCTTCCTATTTGGGCTTCTTTTGATGGACCATTAATAATCTTCTTAAGCAGACCTGTCAGGGACATCACACGGACATTAGTGTGTGCTTAATGGGCCGTGGATTTAGGAGCTTCATCTCTCCGTAAGCTCTTAAGAGCTTTAAAACACACATTATTCCTTCTTTTCGAGAACTAAGGCGCTGTGTGACTGCACCGCCACGGCCTGTTCAGGGTCGGATAGGTATGGTGGTCTGTAGACCATCTTTCCCAGGCAGTGCAGTGCATCTGAAAAATCAGTCTGCTGCTCCACCTGGCTATTGAGAGTGGAATGGGGAAAGCTTCCCTTTCTA